ATCTAACTGAATGAAGTACCAGCTGTGAGTTTTAGTTCTTTTCTGAAAGAGAAAAGGTTATGAATGTCTACAATGATAAACTAAGACTTTTTGGCTTTAACATCAGTTAGCGTAGTCTATCCCTTCTTCCCTCTTTTTTCTTCAGCGTTTCTTTTTATACTGTTTTCTATACATAAAATAATCAATCTATTACTAATTTTCTCATTTAAGTTGAACTTTGCTCTATATGAGCGAATATATTCTTGATTATCTTTTATATATACAAATCAAATACACCATAAGAGAGTTGAGATTAATAATTTTTTTGTACCTTTATTTTTAACTAGGCTAGTCCCAGTGAGTATTTTTTCAATGCAAACCAGGCCAAGACAGTGGCACAACCAATAAATATTAATGCTGAAGGAGCATCAATATGCAATAATGTAACAAGCAGAATGAGGTCAAAGGCACACGAAGAACTGAGTGTATACACACCGATCAGCCATAACATTATGATCACCTGGGCATCCAAGTTGCTCAAATGCGTACAGTTGCCCATTTGTCCTGCTTGCTAACACTGAACTTTGTGGACAAAATGTTCACTTGCTGCCTGATATATCCCACCCACTGACAGGAGCCATGATAACCAGATAATCAGTTGTTATTTGACTTCACCTGTCAGTGCTCATATACATATATATAAATGTATATAAGTAGAGGTCGTCCACTAATCGGAACATTGTTGGTTCAATCCCCGGCTCCTCCTGCCACATGTCTCAGGTATACTTGAGCAAGATACTGAACCCCGAAATGCTCCCAAAGCTGTGGCATCGTGGTGTGAATGTGTATGAATGCGTTAGTTTCTGTCCGGATGGACTTTGCCATCGCTCGCCCTAAAAAAAAAGAAGTGAAAGGCGTACTGACCCCAGATCAGATCCTCACCCCTCACAATTATCATACAGGAAGAAAGAGAGGACTTTTCCTCTGGAGACACGTCACCAATCTTCTGTCAGGTCACAGCTCAGTTCCTGCCTCCTAATTTCTCTCTGGGGAGATTGGACTTTTCATTCAGTGATGAATTACAGAACAATCTCGGTAATTGTATTGAAATTGGATCTGGATTAGAAAACGGGGCCTGAAGTCATTTCTCAAAGGGGGGAATCCCCGGGACAACAGCTCAGTGCTGTTTTCTGCTCTGCCTTTGAGCTGCTGGAAGATGCTTTGTTGCTGCTGCTGTTCCTGTACTCCCTTCAGTGTTTAACACACCTGCTCCGAACTAACAGACAGGCTTTCAGGAATTTTCTGCCTAATCTTCAAAGCTCCTTCTATCTTCCTTAAAGACGTGTTCAGACTGAACACAAAGAAACTTTTAGAAGCAGATTGACTGTACACAGTTATGGTAAAGATGCAAGACAATAGTCCATCCTGGGTGGTGCGAATTGAGGCAAAAAGGCATCCCGAGTGTGTGTTTGACACACCTTGAGAACTGGTGGGGGTTTTAGCCTCCAGCATATTCAATATTCTACATGTTTCTATAGTCTTCATCAGGTGTTTTTCTTGCAGATCCCTGTTTCTTTCAACACTGTAAACAATGTAGGCTATAAATACATTTATTCTAATCATCACGGCTTGTGCATTGCTCTGGTCTTTGAGCTACACAGGTCCAAAAGCTGACACTATCTCTTCCCTTCTCTTTCCCTCTTCATAGTCCACAATATCTGTGTGTGAGGGGATTACACCCTGACAGGAAAAAGCTGCATAATTAAAGTCAAGTCAAACCCAAAAAGAAAGTTGGGAAACCTTTATCATCAACTTGAAAATTCCCTATGGCTGCGAGTCACACTCTACCTCACATCACGACACAACAATTCGTTCCATCCACTTGAGGCTGCGCTGCTGCGAGCGGGCCCGCCTGATGCTGCACTGTGATTAAAATGCCGGCTGAGATTCAAGGATGTCGCCATAAACATCCGTGACACATACAGGTGCACAAACACACCAGAACACAGGCGGAATTCATTATGCCGGAGGGAACCACAGATGATACTACTGCACACACACACACACACACACACACAATATATTCTCCTTGAGAGGCTGTTGCTTGTAACCTTGAACCGTGGTCTCGCCACAGTCAGTCTATTGTTCATTCCTCAGCCTTTATGTGAACACAGTCACGTAAGCCCGGCTGAATGAGGGCAGGTAGAAACCTCAAACACCTTCACTAGAAGCAAGAATTATTTTCTACACTCCTCTCAGTGTGATTTTCTCTTTAATCAATCTCTGCTGACCCTCCCACTTTAACGAAGAACGCTAACAGTGATATATGAGTGTCCGAAGGCTGCGATTGCTCTGATAATGACTTCTGCATGGGGACACTCACAGCATGGCACACACACACACACAATGCCACTTATTTCCTTCCCCTTCCCGCAACACTGCTACTAAAAGCTCAGTGGCGATAGAGCTGCAGCTACTTGACTGGAGCACAAGCACAGCAGGATGGAAGAAATCTATACAGCAAGGATGAATAAAATAACTTAAAGATGTAAGTAATCAAAGAAAGTCTGTGTGTATGTGTGCGTGTGTGTGTGTGTCAAGTCCTTCAGCAGGAGTTTTCCTACACATTTCTTGTCCTCCTCCCACATCTTCCACTGCCTGATGTGGGTCCCCACTCCCACACGTTCTACAAGATTTCACAGAGACACACACGTATGCATACACAGTTACAAAACAGTAATATACAAAAACTAACCAAAAAAGCCCCCATACTCATCCCTTTTGTGTATTGAATGAAACGATTGAAGGTAGAAATTTTGTATTATACTCAGTTAGTGATTTGTTAAGAAGAATAAACTGACAGGGCAGGACTGAGAGGAAAAGGCACAGTTACTGATATTTCAGTGCCATAAAGGTATATGCGATTTAACTTTAACAACATTGATATAGCAGCAAACAATTATTATCTATTTAAAGATAAAGTGGAGTCATGGTGTTACACTCCCTCTGCCTGTCTTGCTATCGCAGCCCCTCTTGATTTTCACACAGCTGGTCTGCTCCAAGTAGAGTGACTGAAACAGCTCTTTTTATCATCTACGTCAGTGAATTAAGGATTTATTTTCACCAAACCAGAGTTTGTAATTATAGGAACAGCGTAAAGATTAAAAAACAGTTTTGGTGAGTTATATATGGTTTCTGTCCACTTTGAATGAATTTAGGATGTTACGATGTAACAAGGTAAATGCAAGGTAAAAGTCTACGATTTCATGTTCTATGGTCCGTGATGGCAAGGATGATAGTTATTACGGTGTTCTTGGTGAAAGGTCGGCGGTATCTCTGTTAGGATCCTGCCCACTTGTTTAGAGACATTTAGAAGTAATTAGATTGCTGCCTGCCCAGTGTCCATGCTTAGCAGTCCATTTTAAAGAGTTTTTTATGATTATCTGCTAAATAAAGTTACTGGTTTTGTCAATAGAATCTAGTGGCCATTGTTTTGGTCTGAAATGCTGCTGCTCTACTGGGACTTAGTGGCAAGTGAATTTTGTGTATATAATGGTTAATTATTTTAATTTCAGGGGACACAACACTGTTTTTGCACATGAAGGAATTTGCTCATAACAGGGAATCACCATTCAGTCGTATAGTGTCTTCTGTGGCCCTGGAGGACCTTTGTCTGAGAAAACAAGTGATGTCATCTGGGGTTGTACCTGCTAGGGCTTGATGTGAAAGATTCGGATATGTGGGCAACAAGAACACTGGACATCATGACTATCTGATTTCCAGATAATTCATAGAGAGAGACTGGAAACTGACTAATAAAATATTATTTTTGTACTGAAAATGAAGTGTTATACATTATTTATCTTTCCTAACAATCCCCACACTGATGAAAATTTCGAAGTTTCAGACGTACAAACTTAAACAAATATTCACTCTTACGCTGATGATACCATTGTTTAATTGTCTGCTGCCAACTAGGGATGTAACGGTATGAAAATTTAACCTCACGGTTATAGTGACCAAAATTATCACGGTTTT